AAAGGTGGGCCTTGGACATGCGGTTCACAGGGGGCTCTGTGATTTTTCGCTACACCACTGGTGACAACACAACTATTTACAGCACTTTAAAGCTCTAAAACTGATCCAAATTAAAAGTTATTTTTTAATGGGATAACCAGATAAACACAACTATTAAAAAAACAAAACAAAACATCAAATCACCACTATAACCAGTAGATGGCAGCAGACAGGCACTTATTGGCTTATTAGTCATTCATTTTGACTTTTGCTTCATATTTTGAAATGATAAAATCACAAATATAAAATATCAAATCATCAAGATATCTAATTTGGTCAATGTTTTGTCAGTTATTTAACAAAAGTCACCAAATGCCTTTTCTTTAATTTGCAACTGAATCCCACATCATTAGAGCATTTCTTAATCTCTGAAGTTGCTGGTCATAATATTGTAATATTGTAGAAGAATAATGGCACACAGTGGCTGTTCTAGCTTTTGTGGGTGAACCCTTCTGCCTCATCTTTCATTTTACCATTTTACATCAGTTTTGACAAACTCAGCCAAATAAATTGAAAAATACAATAAATCCCCCCAGAACTGCACCCTTTTTTATTTTTGAAGTTGGACAGAAAAATTAAACAGACAGAAACTAGAGCTGTGCTACTCTGATAACAACAAAACAAAAGAGCTCACTCTGGACTTCAGCAGATCTACTCTATAATCTACTAAAGGTATTCAGTCAAGAGCAAAGATTGGACTTTCTCTTTTTCTTTTGTTGCTTTATTATCATTAATGATACGGATGGCTACAGGTTTATTAGGCCGCTGTCACTTTAAGAACTAATGCGTAGATCAAGTATACTCACACATCAGATTTTCTCCAATATATTGCTTTGCCTCAAAGCCAAACTCGAAATTGAAAATAAAATTAGATTAATCACACAGCCCTAAAGTGCAAGAGATATCTCACTTTTGGATTGCAAATAATGAAAACACAATATAGACAAATGCCTTGATATTATCGCATATACAAACAGTTGGAAAGATACAATTAGCTTGATAACTTTTATCTAGCAATAATAAACTGTAAGTGGTTTTTCATAATTTCTCCAGTACTGAAAGCAGAACCGATCACCAGATTAGAGTTTATCAAAACTATGGTCTTTCATATTTTAGCCCCAGAGCTTGTTTAATACCGGGTTCAGATACCCTCTTCTTTGTGGAGGAACTCCATCTTTGAGTTGATCTGAATCTCACAGTTGAATCTGCTGGTTTTGAAGATGAAGATTAACTTTATTCACTGTGAAAACTTTAGATAATGTTTCTTTGTTATGTCACTTGTAATATCTGGTTAGGGCAGATTTATCCAGATTATATTTTATTTCTTGATGCATTATTGTGTCGCATTTGTAAGGGAAACAGGTCAATTTAGCTCAAAGGGAATCATTTAAGATTTTAAAGGGAATTTGGACCGAATCACTGTTTTACGGCTGATCACTGAGA